CAATGCAAAACACAGCTAGTGCAGAAGCATCTCGTACACTGCAACAATACAGTGTTAAATATGTTATTTCTGGAAAATAACCACAGTATGCAATCACATTCTACTGTCTTAAAAAACTAAGATGTTTTGTTTTATTTCACATTTTATTCTTTCTGTAATTTTAACACTATAAAGTTTGGTCAGTAGAGAGAAGCAGTGCTGGATCTCAAACTCCGCCTACATGAGCTCACAAGCCGCTGAATGTTGTCATTTTATTGGCTCCCTACCGAAACACCTGCATGAATTAGGACGTGCTTCATGTAAACTATATGTAAATGAGGTACAGCTAGGCTGGCACTTGATTTCACACGCTGAAGCTGATTCATCATTTGCGCTAAAATCTCTGTTCGTTTTCATGTCGTACGAAAGCTTCATGAATCAGATGCAGAGTATTTTACATGTCATTAATACGGTGAAATCTGCCTTTTTTTACACAACTTTGCTTAATAGGGGCCATCGATCTATAGATTCACTACAAGAACTTAAAGAACGACCTATTAAGCAAAACTCAATTTTGAAAGTCAATATTTACTCACCATCCAGGGGATGATGAAGAACCCGAGATGAAATTTCAATAAATTTTCTTGCTGCTTTATGGAGCTCCTTCCTGGCTTTGTAAGTGAGACCTGAAAAAAAGGTTAAACGATCTGGCATCATTATAAACAATGATATCAGAATCATACCTGTATCAGCAGATACAGATATTAAGATTAAATTGATTTTTCCAACCGATAGTTAATGAAGTATTTATTGTACTCCAGAAAAGTAGAATGTTTAGCTGATGCTGTCTTACAGCACTAAAATATCAGCATTTTACTTTAGTTTACTGTATTTGTAACCCTCTACAAATAATTGTTACATTACTCTTTAATGGTGATTCAGGTGAATCCAGTCCAAATTTCTACATTTTAAAAATTTTTATATATCTGCATCAGTATTGGCTTCTGCAGATATGTACATGAAAATTACTGCATATTAGTATCAGCCCACAATTCCCAAATCTATATCTATAAAAAAGATGGATACTGGAAAATACTGCCTTGTTTTAGTGCTACTCTTTCTCTATTGTTATCTGTGACTGGGAATATAATTGTAGTGTATAGTGTTGGGTACGTGTGGGAGTGCAATGTTTATAAAATTATGTGAAATATACTAGCTTCTCACTAGAGGTCATTCAGAGCACAGGTTTATAATCCTGAATTGCTTCTCTTGTACAATACAATTATCGATGAGCACTTTTCTAAAAGCAGGAACATACTGGTGCCAAGGGTCTCCTGTTCTTTCTTAGTGACTGGGGTCAGGTAGATATAGGACTTCTGCTTCTCTTGAAGAATAGCCCGAGTGTCGATGGTGACCGCCTGGTCGAGGGTGATGACCTCGTAAGTGATGAAAACACAACCGCTGTGTGACAAGAAGTATTGCAGTGTTACAATTCATTTCTCTGTTCTAGGAAGAGACTGACATAAAATATTACTTTAACAAAATATATAATATTACAGTACTGTGTAAAATCAGGGATCACTCTTCATTTATTTAATTTCCAGTCACAATGGCCATTAAGTACAATTAAGTTATCCAATATTCAGGAGACAGGAGATGGAAATTAACCCACTTGCATAAGGATGGAGAAAGTCAACATAAAAAGGTGAAAAAAAAAACAGTAGTTTCCAAAACTACTGTTCAAAAATGTATTAAAACGGAAAATAGGACTCCTAACAACCATGCAGGACCTGGTAGACCACCAAAACTGTCAGCAGATAAACAGCACGTACAGCTTTCATCTTCGAGAGAGAAGAGAAAATCAAGCTCCTCTCTTGCTGAAAACATCTGAAAAAATCCACGGGTGTTTCTGTCCATCCTTCCACTGCGAGAAGACAACTCAACACTATGAGTCTGAAAGGATGTGCAGCTGTCAAGAAGCCCTTACTGAGAAAAGGAAAAACAGCCAAAGAAGCTGCTGGTGTTCTCAGAACAATGAGCTGACCACCCCAGAGTCCAGACCTCAACATCACAGAATGTGTTTGGGATTAGTTGGATGGTAAGAAGCAGAAAATGCAACCAACTTCTAAGACTGAACTTTGGAGGTGTGTCAAAAAACAAACTGAAAGCAAGTCTCCTCAAGAGAATGGAAGCTGTAATAAAGGTGAAGAGTGGACCCACTAAATACCGAAAAAAAGACAGATACTACATTTAGTTGGTGAAGTATTTGTGTAATGTTCTGTTAAATATACGTTTCCTTTTTTTCCTGACACAAGAAAATGAGTAAATTGCATCCCTGTGGCTGTTTTTACTAGACAATAAGTAAATGAAGAGTGTTCTCTGACACATTACTTTAATTAGTTAAATAAAAATATTGAAGGACCTTTTTCTCACATTTTATACAGGAAGGGAGCAGCATTGGAAATAGTTTAACAAAAAATGGGTAGAAAAAAGTGATCATTATAGTCATTTTTTTCAAATGCACGGACAAATAGTAAGATACTAAACTTACCCCATTATGATAGCACCAGTTACTTTAGCTATTTTCCCTGAAAACAAATTGAGTAAAATGAATGACAATAGTTAATGAGCCAAGTTTCATGTACTAGTTAAATGACAATTATAATAACCCACAGGAGAATACTACAAAACCTACGAATATCCTTCCATGGAATTACTTTCTTCACGCCTGGACCAGCAGTGCACAGCCTCCGGCAAGGTATCAAGCGCAAGGCAGCCACAGACATCTGCAGATTGACTCAAAAAGGTGAGAAGCAGTGGGTAACAGCAAGTGAGCAAAACCTCTGATTATTCACTCAAGCCAAGGCTTTGGTGTAGCTCACAGCTCACATGTTGAAATTAAAGTTACAATCTGCGATTTTTAAGTAAATAATCTTAAATAAATTAAGTAAATACACGATTCACCTTAAAGCCGAATGACAGCAATGGAGATATGTTATGCCCTTTCATCTCACAGAATAATGCTATTATCATTTATATATGATGAAATCAAAGGCCCTGGTATGGTAAAAAAGCCATGAGGTTTTTTTTGGGAGGGACATACATGTACACCACATTCATAATCCTCATGTGTGTAATTCAGCTGTAAGATCACAGAGTGTGGCTTTACTGAGTATGGCTGTATAATACAGCTGTTCATACACACCAGGTTAATTTGAATAACTCATCTTCAAAGATCACAGAGATGTTTGGCTTTAAGTTAACAGCACTCAACACAGGCTGAACAGCAAACCTATGGCTGTATCCAAAACCACATACTACCACACTAAATAGTATGTCAAAACAGTGCACCACCATTAGTAGCACAGTCATTAGTATAGCACATTTTGTACACTCTTAAAAATGATGGTTCTGGTGGAGAATGTGTTGTATGTGGTTATACATACACTTAAAAAAATATGGTTTTTTAAGGGTTCTTTGCTAAAGAAAATGGTTCTATATGGAACCATGAACACTCAAAGAACCCTTTGCATGATAAAAGAGTTCTTTGGATCATGAGAAGGTTCTTCAGATTAATGGGGAATGTGCTGTATATATTTTTGAAAATGGTTTTATATAGCACCAAAAAGGGTTCTTCTATTCTAACAAGCTTGAGATTGTAACAATAGAACCAGTATGGTGCTGTATAGAACCATAACAACCCATTCTCCGTCATTCCGAAGAACTATTTCGCCACGCAAAAAAACATTTAAGCATGGAATGGTTCTATATAGAATTCATGGCTTTAAATAGAACCACTTACTTTACTAAAGAACCTTAAATAACTATCATTTTAAGAGTGTATGTACAGTGACGTTACAACCAAGGTATAGTACGTGGGTGTATTAGTCCTAATTAGGGTTAACTCCCTAGATAGTGAACTGCACAGCACAAATGACGCTTTCTACACCGAATCTACACCTAATCAGTGCACTATATGTCAAGCAAGGAGAGATTTGGGATTCACCCCATGTTTCCCAAGTCTGACAAGTTTGCTAACGTGTCAGACCAGCTCATGGTGTTTATGATATAACTATGGGATACTGTAGCCAAATAAACAGGCAACCATTCATTCACTTACTCAATTATTATTAATAATAATATAAACAATAATAATAATAAGCTGTAACTGTTACTAACTATGTAGTGCGAGAAGCGAGAATCCACAGCGGGCAAAGCTAACTATTACTGGGTTAGCGTTAGCAGGCTTGCTAGCAGCTGCTGCCAACCATTAGAGCTAATTTTGGAACTAACTTAAATGAAAATGTGATTGTTTACCTTGTTTGTAAGTTGGTGTGAAGTGACTATGCTAAGTACAGTTTTATGGCCAAGGAGAACTCGCTTTTCTGCATGATAACCTTCTCACTAACACACTTGCCCACTTTTGGGCAAACAAGCGGCGTTTGTTCCACCTGTACTCCGACAAGTCCCGCCTGCTGTTTTGGGATTGGCTGGTAGAATCTAGCGTCTTGCGCTATGATAGGCTAGTAGCTCAGAATCACAAGCAGTCTGCCAATCATGGCAAAGGAGGCGCGCCGAAAACGGGTGGGGAAAATGAAGCAGCCCATCACAATGTAAACAGGAAGCAAGGCGAAGCCACGTGATTACCGTAAAACCATTAAAATCTAAAGGTAACATTTATACCGTAATATTTTTACCAAAGCCTGAACGAGCAAATAGAACATTTCGTAGCTAAGTCCACCGTGTGTCGCCCCCAGGCTGATGTTTAGTTGCTGGCTGACTAACTTGAGGCCTCTTGAAGTTTGCAATGATGTCATTTTGCAGCTGGTACAGGTCATCATACGCGAGGTGAAAGACAAGTCAGCCCACAGAAAGAATTCCTTTCCGGGGAAAAGGGAAATCCAGGCAGGGATGTGAAGGGCAGACTGAAACGGTCAGGATGTTTGTGTCTTCTGTGGTGTGTAGTCACGTTTCTATTTACTGATCACCAAACACTGAATGAATCACTCAGACACGCTCACTTTTTTAAGACGGATCATGAACTGTAGCGTCTTAATAACATGTTTAATAATCCATCTCTTATTGTGAGAAAAAAACACTCCTGCTGAAAAAAAACATAGAAATCATTAAAGGTTTCTGTTAATTTCTGGTGGTGTCCAATAGTCAGTAACTGTGTTTTGTATTTTCCTAATGGGTTGATATTACAGTGTAAAGGACTTTAATGGTTTAGCAGGTGTTCTGGGACTGATTCCAGATACATTTGATGGGTTCCTAATGTGATTTAAAGGTGTCCTACATGAAACTAGTCGTTTTTCTCAGCAAGGATGAAGTCAGCATTTTATAAAGTAAAAGCAAATAGACAGTTAAATAATGATACAGTGTGTTCCCCAAGTCAGTCCTTCATTATGTGGGCTAAACTTACTCAAAATGAGACATTTTAAATGAATGACTCCACATAAAATTAGTGAGGTCATGAATCTCTCACCACCTATTTCACTCGCTGCACAGTCTGCATAATAATGTCTCCAAAATAGTAGCAACACCCAGTCTAGGTTACATTAATCCTGCCAAAACAGTGATGAAAGCTGGTATCAGCAGTCATACAGCCCCAGCATTGTTCTAGAGTGTTCTACCACATTCACACCGTTCTGGATTGTTTTTTTCATTCACACTCTAATGTTCTTGCCCCAATTACACTGTTCTACAATTTATACTTTTCTAGAACGTTCTACCTCATTCACACTGTTCTGGATTATTTTTTCCATTCACACTCCCTAATGTTCTCACCCTATTCACACTGTTTTACACTGACACTTTTCTAGAAAGTTCTACCTCATCCACACTGTTCTGGATCTTTTTTCCCATTCACACTGTCTAGAATGCTCTCACCCCATTCACACTGTTCTACATTCACATTTGTCTAAAAATGTTCTATCCCATTCATACCATTCTGGGTTGTTTTTCCATTCACACTGTTCTACGTTCACATTTTTCTAAAATGCTCTCCCCATTCACGCTGTTATAGAATATATTGCCCCATTTACACTGTTCTACAATTGTCTCTCCCATTCACATTGTTCTAGAATGCTTTCCACATTTGCACTGATCTAGAACATTTTCCCCATCCACACCAATCTAGAATGTTTTCCCCATTCACACTCATCTAGAATGTCTTCCCCATTCACACTGATCTAGAATGCTTTCCCCATTTGCACTGGTCAAGAACATTTTCCCCATTCACACTGATTTATAATATATATATTTATCTATTCATACTGTTCTAGAATGTTGTCCTCCAATACATGCCTATGCCTTTCTAGAGTGTTCTGCGTATTTACACTGTTGTAGAATGTTCTCCCCCTCTATTCACACTAGTTTGTTTGGCTTGTCAGTTCTTATTTTGAAACTGCATGAAAATAACTGCCAACATTAGAATGTTGTCTTTTGTGGGTCAAAGTCCCATGGCCTTTATTCTATTTATCTCTCTCTCTCTCTCACTCTCTCTCTCTCTCACTCTCTCTGTCTCTCGCTCTCTCTCTTGCCAATCCCTCTCTTTTTTTCATTGTTTCACACACATAAGTATACACAGCACAAACAATACAATGAAAACTAAGCATTAAAACTCTGCACAAATCAAATATATCTAAGACATTCTTCTTAGAACGAAAAAGATAATTTTATAATGTGGCTATAGACAAAGTATTAGTTTGTGTCTATAGCCAAGTCATAATAAAATCTTTTATAAGTATTTGATATAATAAAGCCTTTATTATAACATGGCTATGGACAAAAGATAAGAAAGACTTATCTTACTTTTTGTCCATAGAAATGTTATAAAACTGGCTTATATTAAAGGCATATTAATTGTAAGAAGAGTGCCATGGATAATTACTTTTTGAGTGTTATTAGCCATTCCATAGAACATCTCTTTAATAATTGTTTATACCCCCACTGGTAGCATCAATCTTATTGTAAATAATCAATCTTGTTCAATTTTATTGTAAAATCCTTAAAAATTAAAAATGTCCTGGGTCCTTTCAGGTCCATCATCTCCAGTCTTTTATTTCTTCCTCAGATCATCTTGTCCTTTCCCTTTTCCAAGTCTGTGGACCTCTTCATCTTCCATATGTCACCTCATACTCATGGCTCAAGTGCAGGTTTCCTGATAGGCCCGTATGATGCTCTCATAAGCTGGTGGAGGGGTTTGGACACCCCTCATGCCGCTGTTCCCCCAAAAAGAGTCCGGTCTTGGCCTGGCCCTGGGAGGGGTGACCATGGAGCTGACCGTGGTGGTTGAGCCAGTGGCCGTGGGGTTATTAGTGAGGGTGGGGGTGCGGGGCAGACTGCCTTGGCTACCTTCCTCCGCCTCACGGGCTATCTGACTGCACTGAAGCAGGGGATGGAAGGTGGAGGCCCTGAAGCTGGACTTGCGGCCCAGCAGGTCAGCCTGGTCGCTGGTGGGGGAGGCCTGCCGGTGGAAGGAGAAGGCGGCGCTGGCCAGGCTGTTGTTGCTGCGGCGGTCATAGGCGCTGTTGTGGCGGCCAAAGGCGGCGCGGGAGCGCGGAGAGGAGGATGATGATGAGCGACCAACACAGCGGGACGAGGGCAGGCGGGTGATGGTGGCTGAAGCCCGTCGACGGGACATCCAGGTCAAGGTCACATACACCAGAGCGCCCAGCACCAAACCAACCACCATGGAGAGACAGAAGGCCAGAATCAGATCCCCTAAGGGTGAGGTGAGGTGAGGAGAAAATAAATAAACAAATAAATAAACAAACGAACAATTCAATGAATACTATATACACTGATAGATAAAAATCTATTCATCTTAAAGGAAACTGCAGGTTTACAACAGCGACAAAAACAGCAGTGTGGGTTAGCAGATGTATTTTAATAATAATAATAATAATGATGATAATAATAATAATAACTTAATAATAAGGGGCTCATTATTAGAAGTGTTGTCATGAAGGCATCAGTTGAACTGCATTAATTTTTGAATGTGAAAATCAATTGTAATCATTTATAATAATATTAAATGTAATTCTCAGGCATATTTTCGCATTTTCAAATTTCAAAGTATTCCATGACAGTGTAAATAGTTCTTTCAGTTTTTTCAGCATATTTATGGCTTCTGTATAACTTCTGAATAAAATAAAATTAAACTAAAAATTCTGATTCATACTATAATAATCAAATTAAACTGAATTGTAGTGAATTTGAGATGTTATGATGCACTGAACTGTTTCCTAGAGAATTAAATAGTAACAATCAAATTTACATTATGATGTCAGTGATGCACACCTCTAATAATAATAATAACACCTTTCTCAGACTCAAGGTTCACTGCAAAAAGTGGCTCATCAGATCTACCTAAAAAATTTACTTCATGTGATAATAAGCAATTTAACTAGTTTTATTCAACTTAAAAAACTAAGTTTATTGAAAGAATCGTTCATTCAAAGTATTTATTTAGGTTGGGTTAGGTTATTTAGGTAGGTACTAGTTAATTTACTTGTTACCACATGAAGTAATTTTTTTAGGTAGGTCTGATGAGCCACTTTTTACAGTGTTGCTTATCACCACACCATATGATCCAGTAACTGTAGATGTGAGTGGAGGCAGGTAATCACTGTTACAGGTGTTAAAGGGTTAAAACGCTATTTCAAAAGTGCCAACCACCCTTTTACATTAACATACAGTACTGCCCAAAAGACTTCCAGTCAAAATGGCCATTAAGTCAATTTTTTTTTCCAGGAGATATTTCTGAAGAGATTAGATATAACATAATCCATGTGCATAAGTATGGAAAAAGTTAAAGGAAAATAAGTATAAGTTTCCAAAACTATTAAACAATGAAGATAAATTGGGACTCTTAATAACTGCGCAAGACCCGGTAGACCACCAAAAACTGTTCCCATCAGATAAACAGTACTTAAAGCTTTCATCTTTGAGAGAGAGGAGAAAATCAAGCACCACTCTTGCTTCAGATCTGGAAACATCCACAGGTGTTTCTGTCCATCCTTCCACTGTGAGAAGAATGGACAGAAACACCTGTGGATGAGGTTCTGAAAGGATGTGTAGCTGTCAAGAGTCCAAACCTCAGCATCACTGAAAAAATGCAACTAACTTCTAAAACTGAACTGTAGAAGAGCTGTAACAAAGAATAAATATATTTTTTTTTCAGGCTTCTGTGTAGTTTTCTGTTTAATATATGTTTCAATATATGACTGGAAATTTGTAAATGAATGGTGGTCACTGACTTTTGTATCATACTGTAACATTACAATTAATATTTTCCTTTTTTGTTACAACAACAACATGTTTTTTTTTCTTTTAATCATTTTTTAGCCTTAGTTCACTGTAAATAGTTTTGGAGCCTAGAATCAAGAAGCACTGTACAACAGATCAACAAGGTTGCTTTCTCACTTAAATAAACACCATTGTTAGTCTGAGTCTATTAAAATCAGCGGCCATCAACTGCATGTAAAGTGTCTGTTTTCCGTTCTCCATTGTCATTTCGGTGCCTCACCTAATGTCTCATTTCTAGCTATAGCCTTATATTCTCTCTACAGAAGGTCAGCAGGGTTTGTTTCTGCCACCATCTCCACCTATCCGGTTCTTATAGATCATCAGGGTGGGACGTATGAGGGGTCATTCAGGAATGTGTGTTCTGTGCCTTGATCCATTGTAAATCAGCATCACTCATAGACTGACGATAGAAGTTCTTTTCTTCCTGCTCTGTTCCTAAGTGCAATAAAAATAGTTGAGATTTTCGGAAGTTTCCGGCTGTGCTGCTCTGCTGAGGCATTCAGCACTTCACTCTGGCACAGAGTGCTTCATCCAGGTGCCCTGCAGATATATAGTGATTGTGGAGGCAGAAGCATTTCACCTCTTTAAAATGACAACAGAGAACAAAAAGAGCACACTTTATGCCTGGTCTGTGGTCACTAATATAAACAAAACAAACCTTATTTGGTCATTTTACAGTGCTTGTGGTACATGATCAAAATTCCGAGCTGCAGAATGATCTACACTGATCTAAGGGTTTGAAATGACAGTAGTTAAATTTACAAGTATTTTGTTATGATCGATATAAACCAAAGATATTAATAGAGACAGAAATAAGCTAAACATATGACAAGTAATCATTTATAGAGTACTTTCTACTGGGAGGTGGCTGTCCCAAACCCTAACCCCCACATTTAAACTTGTGAAAATAATACTTATATATTTTATATATTTTTCCAGTATTGTTTTTTAGGATATTTTGAATTTGAAAGTTAAGGTGAATTATTTAGATTTACCTTTAGTTTGAATTGTTAAAAAAAGCATTATTCAGAAAATGCTGTCCCACATTTTCATGTCACTCCCAAAACAAAAAGGCTGAATTCCAAATGGCTCCCACTCCCTACATAGTGCCCTACATAGGTCTTAAAAGGATGGCTTCCACACCCACACAGTGTAAAATATGCCTAACAAAGAGCCATTTGGGATTCAATCACATGTCCCTACTGGACATACAGTGCATATATTTGGGTGTAGAATGCACCATTTCAGAACTCACGTAGTGCACTATATAGGGAGTAGGGAGTGATTTGGGATTCAACCAAAGAATTTTAGTCCTTAGGCAGAGTCTTATTTTAGCCACACCCCTGCATTTTAGAGCAGGAAGTGGGACTGCATCCCGGTCCCTCATGGCCACATGGTGAGCAGTTAGATCACGCTGTTTTGCAGTAAATTTGAAGTAAATGTCTTAAAAAAAGTATGGAACATTAGGAATTGTCACCACCAAGACGCAAAATGTTTCTGCAGTTAGGTACTCTTCTTTTAAATAATATAATAATAATAAAATATTATGATTTTATGTGTGTACAACTGTTCAAAACTGTGTTTGCTAGCCATGTACTGGCTGGTCTTATTACATAATGTTAAAAATTAGCTTATGATTGTTTTAGTTGTGATGGAATGGAACGTTTAATCATTTGTTTTAATAAAATAAACATAAGGCATATGGTCATTCTTAGCAAAAGAATGTGAAGGCTATGCCAGGTAAAAGGCCAAAATGTGTTTTGAGCTTTGACTTTGAACCAGTTTGGTAGACCAATCCATACAAGCTTTGCTTTAATGTATTTTAACCATTTTTATTGGCCCATTCATCATGAAATATTCACGCGAATGGCATTTTCAAGTGACAAAAACAACAGTGAGTATATTCTTACATGCACAAGCACATGCATTAAATTAGGCACCACCTTTGGAAAGGGGTCTAGGTGCATGTTATTGTGGGCCTTGATTTTACCTAATTGCTATATTGACCACAGTGCAAACTGATTAAGATATAAACAAGGCTTTCTCCACATCTCTGACTTCATTCTTGAAGACATTACCAAATTAACATGTTTCTATTAACCTCCAAAACCAACAGCAACTATATATTCATGGTGGAAAAGCCAGCAATGCACACGTGTGAATATACCAGTCCAAACTCTCTACTAGCCTATCTCAGCAGCAACTTATATCACTATTTCACCAACTGCTACTCACTGCAGTTAGACTAGCGGACTGTGATCATCTGGAAATGGCATTTGGACAGACAGAGTGGAAAACAGCTCTGTAGTGTTTTTGCAGGTCACTCTAGAAAAAGCTTCAGCTGCTACTGTTTTCACATCTGATAGAAACTGACCACAGCACTGCACACACTGTCTAGAACGCTTTAACTCCTCAGTGTTCTGGTTAATCAGTGGAAAAACATACAGAGAGAGAGAGAGAGAGAGAGAGAGGAGAGAGAGAGAGAGAGAGACAGACAGAGAGAGAGAGAGAGAGAGAGAGAGAGAGAGAGCAGATCAGAGGGATAAACAGAAAGAAAGAAAGAAAGAAACAGCAAGTGGTAGAAAAAGAATGAGAGAGAGGTAGACTGAGAGAGAATGTAAGAAAAAGAAAAGTTGAGAGAGATACAAAGAGAATGAAGGATAGATGGAGGAGAGTAAGAGAAACAGAGAGTGAGAGAGAGGGGATATATTTCACGGAGAAACAGAGAGAGACCAAGAAAGAAAGCAAAACAACAAGAACAACAACAAAACAACATCAGGGATAAACAAAGAGTGAGAAAGAGAGAGAGAGAGAGGTCAGTAAAGTGTCTTACTCAAGCCGAAGGACTGCAGTATTTCCAGAATGGGATGAGTGCTGTTATCGGCCATCGCTCCTTCCACACACAGAGGAGAAGAGAGAGGAGAAAGAAACACATTCAGTCCGCCTCCTCCTGCTCCCTCACTCCTCCTCTCCTTCTCTTTATTGCTCCTCCTGAATCCTCCTTTCTGCTTCTCTCTTGCGCTTCGTCTCTGGACGCATGTGTCTGATTACCCCCTCTCTCTTTTCTCTCTCTTTCTCTCTCTCACTCTCTCTCTCTCTCTCTCTCTCTCTCTCTCTCTCTCTCTCTCTCTGTATGTCCAGCCCAGAGGCACACAGGATCCCCTCCAAGGCCAGTTTGTCCGAGAGGAAAACTTTGCTGTCACATTTCCTGTGTTTCCTGTGTAAAATTAGCAGCAGGCTGTGCTTATCTGCCAGCAGCAGTTTTCCTGTAGGATGGAGGGATGGGGACAGGAGGAGAGGAGAGGTGGGGAGAGGACTGTTGGAGTGTAATCACTTCCTCCCATTCTCTCCTCCTCCTCTTAATCACAGACATGCACTCTCACCCCCAAAGTCTTCACTTTCTGCACTTTCCCTCTCTCCTCCCTCCATCATCCATCCATGATTTTCTAAGTGAAAATAAGTTAACACGTCCTCTACAGAGATGTGTTTTCCATGTACTCTGCAAATAAATATAAATTGTGCAGGAAAATCTGCAGAAAAATGGCATATGTTACAGCATATAGAGTTGACATATTTTACTTAGAAAATCAACAAAACCTGCCACAGCACTGCTGTGTCTGATCCACTCAGACCTGCACAACACACACTAACACATCACCACCACGTCAGTGTTACTGCAGTGCTGAGAATGATCCACCACCCAAATAGTACCTGCTCTGTGAGGGTCCATGGGGGTCCTGACCACTAAAGAACAGGGTAAAAGGGGGCTAACAAAGTATGCAGAGAAACAGATGGACTACAGTCTGTAATTGTAGAACTACAAAGTGCACCTATATAGTAAATGGGGCTGATAAAATGGACAGTGAGCGTAGAAACAAGGAGGTGGTCATAATGTTATGCCTGATCGGTGTATGATCAAAAATGTCTTATGTATAAGAAAATATAATGGAACAATATACAACAACAACAACAACAACAACAAAACATATAGGCCAGTCAGACAATGTCTTCTGCAGAATATTGAACATTTTTCAGTCGTTTTCCATGTTTGACCACAGTCTGAACCACTAGAGAATTGGCATGGATGCTTGGAAACTGACAAAATGCAGAAATGATGTGAGACAAACTGTAATGAGTGAGTCTAGATCAGGATAAATCCAAGAAAGAAAGATCATGAAAAGACAAAGCCTAATATCTAGAAAAACCTGGCACAAGTACACAAAGAACATTCTTAAAATAAATAGTTCTTGGCTTAGACATACAGTTCTGAGAAAAAAAATTAACTGGTATAAAACCTTGACATGATGCAGAGGTTCTTTAACTCCTTAAAATCTCAGGCTTATTACATACTAAGGCTTATTATTCAGTAACTACAGGGACTTCAATACAATTTTTAGGTTATAGAAGTGTGTAATAAGACTTTGGGCCCGCTGGTTTTGCTAAAATTTCAAAATGTACTGTCCCATTCAAAATGCACATTCCCATACTGTACATATCAGGAAACTAAGCTGTAAAAATGATCTGTTTTGAAATCATTGTTTCTGTGATGTCACAAAAAAACACTCATTTACATACATCCACCTATTCCGCCTATGGCAGATTAGCTCCACCCATTCACGCAGAAGTTATAGGGAGTGCTTCAGCCCAAACTGGGGCACAATACAGGGTGGCCAATCAGAACAGAGCTCATGTACATACATCAGTTTGTAAGACAAGCAACAACAACAGTATTTTTTAATTCTAAGGATTAAGAGAGGTTGGAAAACAGGCATGTAATAATAAACTGTGACTGTTTAGGGTAAAAGAAGCCAGACAAATGTTATAATTGGAAAAAATACAAAACAAATACAGGAATAAAGCAGGGCCTTTTAAAAATGTCTCATTTACATGACTGGCTCTTTAAAGCACCATCCACTGAAAGGTTCTTTAGGGAAGTGATTTGTTTACATCATTGCTCCAAAGATCTCTTTTAGGCACCTTCACTTTTTACAGCGTGCTGCTTTTCAGAACAAATCTCTGGATTTCATGTCATTAAATTTCAGGCCTTTGCTTTGTGAGCCTGAGAGCGGCTCAGTTTTTCCACATAAAGTGCCAGCTGTGTCTGACCAGGCCTGCTGAACTCTACACAGCTACGGCACAAACAGTGATAAGATCCAGCAGAAAGGGGAAGACTTTGTCCCAAATAGACTGTGTCCCTTTGTAGCACACTTCCCTTTGGCCTGAGCGCTTTGAGGCTTTAGTGTAGGTGACTCAGTGCAGCAGACAGCGTGGTGATTTGGGACGCTGTGGCTGATCTGGGTGGAGAGGGATGGGGCTCGGCTGATATTTCCTCTCATTGTTGTGCCGTGTGGTGGAGTGGAGGAGCCAGGCTGTGGCAGGAGCTCTCTTTATGCTCCTCATTGTGTCTGATTTGGAGCAGCATAATCACGCACTTGTACACAAACAAACATACATATATGCAGCAAAGTCACGTAGGCCCACTGATGAACTGTGGGAAAATCACATTTGATAATATCTGTCTTACAGAGCAGTAGCGTGCTCATGATTGCTTGATTAAAATCAAATACTTGGTTTAAAAAATGGACTGATTAAAATGTACCTTCGTGATGAATCAGCCGAGTAATTAGTTTGCAACTGGAGTGATGATCAGGATAAGCACATATCACAGTTAGGCCTCACTGAAGGACTGTAAAACTGTAGAAAACAGGGTAAAGAATTTATTAATCAATCAATATTTCATGCTTTAAATGTCTTTGTTTAAGTAGAGCTCACCTAGGGCTACTTATAAAGTGAAGATTCTATGCAGTAAACACTGCTATAGGTTCTTGAAATGACCAACTCAAAGACCATTATTTTTCAAATTACCATTAAAAATGACTTACACTGATACAGTACAATACAAACTTATAACACATAGAATTTGCCGATGCTTGCAGATCAGCAGTGGCTGTTGGTCAAGTTATTTTTGACCTGTATTACATTGAATACAATACAACAGCACATTATTTAATATTTTACCTTGTCATTTTTTTTTCAAAATAAACACATATTTCAGTTTTGATTCTCACAACATGTTTAAAAAAAAGTTGGGACGGTAAAACATTTACCACTTTGTCATGTTGCCATTCTTCAAAAGCACTTAAAAGATGTTTAGGGACTAAAGACACAAAATTATCATGATCACTTTTTAGGTATTTTAAAATGCACCACTCAGTCTTTATTGGGGACAGGTTGGGACTGCAGGCAGGCTAGTCCAGCTGGCATTTGTGGATGTAACTATGTATTGTAGTGTTTAACAAAGGTTTTCCAAAGTAATTCTGAACCCGTACGGTTGTATTGCTACAGATGAATGACAGTTCTTGAGGCTGTGCTGTCTGAGGGATTGGAGAGCACAGTTATTCAGCTTAGGCTTACGCCTAATAATATTCCCCCGATTTCTTAAATGTTTTAATTATATCATGTACCATAGAGTGTGAAATATCCAAATCCCTTCCTGTCTTTCTTTGAGGAACATTTTTTTAATGCATTAATTTTCTCGCACATTTGTTGGTGATCTGGCGATCCTCGACCCATCTTTGCTTCTAAAGGACGAGGCCTTTCCTGGATTTAGTGCCAAATCATGATTAGAATCACTTGTTGGCATAACATGGTTCAAATCACATCCTTATTTAATGATTTTACCTCATTTCTGGCCCTAAACAGCCCCCACCTCAACTTTTTTTGGAATGTATTGCAGGCCTGACTGGCAGGAATGGATGAATCAGTGAAATTCCCCTTTAAGACCAGGAGCGCACAGGTGAATACATTAAAAAACTTTTAATTATTACTCAAAATAAACTGGATTTATAGATTTTCCAGCACTAACATACGTCTGGGAATTGAGGAAATATGAATGTAGGTCAGTTTAAAGCAAAAACATCTGTGTAAAATAAATATTATTAATCTGGAAAACCAACACAGCTGGCTTTTGTGCTGTATGAGGGGATTTTGCATTGCTCTATTATTTATTGTTAGGTATCATTGAAATGGGTGTTAGCATCTCCATAGCATTGCATTGGTAATAAAATGGGATGCTCTGGAGCAGCTACACATGAGCCTGAGGTAAACATGCCCAATGACAAGTGTCAGCTAGAGAGGTATAAAGAGGGATATAAAGCTGTGGAGCAGTGGAACTGTGTTCTCTGGAGTGATGGAGCCCCATCCAATACCTTTGTGATGAGTTGGTGGAGTTTGTGATCCAGAACTAATCATCCATCATCAGCACCCGACCTCGCTAATGCTCTTTTGATGGAATACAATCAAATCCTTACAGCAATGTTCCAACATCTAGCATAAAGTATTTCCAGTAGTAGAGGCTGTTACTGCAGGGAAGGGGAACAAAGTCCATGTTAATACCCTCAATTTCAAAAGAAACCTGGATGAGCAGGTGTCTACAAACATTTGGACGTATGGTGTAGCCATGCCTAATGAAATGTCAATTCAGTGTATCAATAGAATGTTCATAGTATTCTCATGCAGTGTTTACTGGAGAGATATGCAGCTGCTTTTAGTCAAAGATTTGGCCTACTTTGTCCAGAAAACATAAGCATCACTGCTTTAGATAACTTTGTCCCGGTCCTGCTTCTGGACTTAAATCCAGCTATGCACATTTTAGTGTTTTCCCTGCCTCTCATCATTAATAAGCCCTACAATGAGCTTGTCAGAGTAGGAGACCCTAAACTGTGTACTACAGGGGGAATACAAGGGCAACATTGGGACACACTGGCTTAGAGAAAGATTCTGTGGTGATAATATATGCTATGTCAGAGTTTAATGCTATAAGGTAATATACTTACAGAGAATCTGAACTGAAAAATACAGCATTTGGCTAAAAGGCCTTGAATTGCACCATTTAAAAAATCAATACTTTCATTTTGTAATTGAATAGAAATATTGAGGTAACACATATACAGCATGTCCTGTTACTGCTGAGCCCTGTTATGAACAGTAGATGGCACTCTTAATCTTTAATAGAATAGCTTAGTGAGTCAGTGGTCTGAGGCATCAGTACAGCACATTTCATAGACAGAGGGGATTCAAAGTGTTATACATAGATAAGGACAAAAACATAAAAGAACAGGAATGTTAATAAATAAGACATATAAAAAGAAGAAGGCGGACAACTGATGTACTAAATTCCCTGTCCA